AGCAAGCAAAATGCTCCTCAGCGAGAGGGGTGAGTCTGGGTTGGAGGGGGACAGAGAAGCTGGGGGGGAAATGAGAGGAGTGGGGGGGTGAGGGGGGGAGAGAGAGAGAGAGAGAGAGAGAGAGAAAGAGAAAGAGAAAGACAAAGGAGAGAACAGGGACAGAAAGAAAAACTGGAAAATACTGAAGGGAAAAACTTGGCTCACAGCCAATTTTAACACTTTAGCACTTTCCATCCAATTTCTCCCATATCTGCAAGACTGAGCACCTAATTCCTGATCAACTATCTTAAATAAAAACAAACCACTGTTACGTATTTGTTTCCTCGTCAGTGAAAATTTAACTCTTCTGCATCATGTCTGACTTTTGCCAACAATGCAGCTCCCAGCTCAGCGCGGCAATAAATGAAGGTTAGTGATTTCTTAACAAATGGTCTGGCAAGGATGTACATTAGATAAGTCTCAATGAATATTATGGTTTGCAGACACGTGCTCCAACTGACAATGTTTTGAAGATTTTTTTTACTCTAACAGCACACTGCAGAATTTGGTATGATTGTAATATAAAAGATCATCTGGATCACTTCACAAGATATGCACATGAAAGAATGCCTTGCATTTATACAGCAATTAAAAATTTCACATCTGTCTCTTAACATGTCAAGCACTCCACACATGATGAATCATTTTGAAATGCGATGATTCTGATAGTTACAAAACGTAAAAGCCATTTGCATACTCTGAGATCCTACAAACTGCAAAATTTTGAAGGATCACCTGATTTGCAGTGACATCAGTAGAAGACTGAACAGTAGCCAGGTCACTGGGGGTGTTTTCTTCTCCTCGAAGGTGTGGTGGAATCTTTGAAACATCCACTTAAACAAGCAAATTGGGCCTCTGTTTAAACTGGTCAATTCAGAGAATGTGAGAACTTTAACAAATGTGTGCTTGAGGAGAAAGGGGAATACTAGAGGTATAATAATAAGCGAGCAAGTACCAGGAGTCAGGACAACTGCTCAGGCAGAGTATAAAAACCAACACATACAGGTTAGGTCAAATAGCATGCTTTCCTATTCTGAGAGATTTCAGGACATAGCTTCTGACAAGGCAACTCTCCCTCACTATCGTACTGAAGCTATCTACTTAAATTACGTTTTATACTAAAGGAGAAAAGGCGAAAACAGCTGAGCACTACAGGTTCCCAAGCATCTAGCAATTTAAAATAGGCACATATTTGTTTTTATTTGGTGAGATCACTCCCTGCCATGCATGTATGTCAGTTCATACAGGCACAAATGAGCAACCTGATGAGGTCAGAAGATTATGTTAAGATGATTCTCAGTCTAGCTAACAGCACATGGTGTTGTTCAGTGAGTGCTACCCAATCACAGAATAACATTGAGTCATTTATTTTGGGTTTTATAAGTACAGGCCAGTGGGGACTATTATAAACCGGCCAAGGGACTTGTTTGATTCAATCTTTCAATCGTTGGGACTTCCTTGCTGCAAGTCAGGCAGGATCTGGAGTAGTGTATATAGTTTTGGTCTCCTTACACAAGGAATGATCTGCTTGCTAAAGAGGAAGCAAACAGCCAAAGTCAAGCAGGTGGATCCCTGTCACGACAGGATTGCCTTGTGAGGAGACTGGGTCTGCACTCTCTGGAGTTTAGAAAAATGACAGGTGATCTAACTGAAACATACAAAATTTTTTTACAGGGCTCGACAGGAAGATGTGTTCCCTTGGCTGGGGTTATTTAGTGTTCAGGCTCAGAGTAAGGAGTAGGACATTTAGGACCGCAGAAAGGAGGTAATACTTCACTCAGAGGGCAGGAAAACTTTAGAATTTCCTACCTCAGTTGGTTGTGGAGGGTCAGTCATGAATACAAGACAGAGGTCGATTTCTAGATATTAAAGACATCAAGGGAAATGGGGATTGCGGAGGGAAACGGTGTGCAGGTGGAAGATCAGACACCACCTAGTCGAATGGGTGAGCAGGCTTGAGGGGCCAAATAGCTTCCTCTTACTCTTATTTCTTCTGTTCCTAGTTACGAGCCTGCATAACAGGCATCATGTTGGCACTGAAATTCATACATAGCACTGTTCAATTGTGCGGTAGACAGATTGGTTTTTGGACAAAATTTGGCATTCTTGCATCTGTCCTGAAGAGTGGAAAATGAAAAGTTTTGACATGTTTCTCTTTCAACAACATCAAGTTCTGTACAGCTGAGTGAGTGTTTAAATTATATTGTTAAAACATGTAGTCAAGTGTGAAAGTGTGAAACTACAACTTCCAATTCTGAAATAATAGTATATCCCTTTAAGCTGCCTTCAAAACATCCAAGATTTGGTTTAAAAGTCCACTATAATTGCTTACCAAAGCTTTCATTAACCGTGTTTTTATGCACAGAAAGGAGTGCTGCTTATAGCAAATATACAACCAGTGGGTAATAGACCACTGATGACTAGATTCAAAGCCCATTCTTATGGCTTAAGCACATGATGAAGACTTGATACTTCATGACAATACTGAAGGAGTGTTGCGAGTCTTCAGTTTGATAAGATATGACATCAAGACTCTTTTAGTCCATGCAGGTAATTGAAGTGCACATCATCACATTCTTAACCTGAATGTCCTGGCCAACACACTCAATATTTATGGAGCTGTTTACAGAAGTGCGTTAGGACACCTCAGAGCACGTACACGTAATAAAACAATTTACACACAGCAAGGTATCACAAACAGCAATGAGACGTCTACGCCAAAGCTAGTGCTCAGTGGAACACATCATATATTGACTTTGATTAATTCAACTTCCAGCACATTTGTTATGACAGAAAGAGGTGAATGGGTGGGGAAGGGGGGAGCGGCCAAGAAGACAGACGGAAAGAGATAATTAAAACTGCCACTTAAAAGTCACCACTGGCCTACACACTTACAAATTTGTTCTCGATGGATTCCCACTTCAGTTCATCACACCACCCACACCAAATAATAAAAAAAAAATTAAAGTCTTGGTAAAAGAATGCTCAGCTCAGTCCAATAACTCTATTGACAGAAAAATTACCACCCTGGGGAACTTTCACCAGACTCCTGGCCAGTATTCAACACCAGTGAGGAAAAGCAATTATCTGGTCATTGCCACATTGTTGCTTGTGGGAGCTTGCTGTGCACATATTGGCTGCCACGTTTCCTACAATGACAACAGTGACCACATTTCAAAAAACGCTTCACAGACTGTAAACCACAATTAGTGATGTCTAGTGGCCATGAAAAGTACCATATTAATGCAACTCCCTTTCTCCAGGATGAAACACTAGTATCCAGAACTCCAGCAAAACAGCTCATACACCTGAATTCTAACAGCAATATGGAATTTCTTATATAAAAAAAATTTCAGGGCAAGCACCTGTACAATGCCGGTCGAACCAAACACATCATTCACAATATTTTTGAAACCAAACAACGGGATTGGGGTGGAGGGTAAACTAAATAAAGCAGCAGCACTTAAAAACTGGATTATAAAGGAATATCAACAAAAGTGTTCAATAAAATCTATTTGATACACTTTGCAGTTGTGAAAGTGACTCTTATTTACTAGCCAGCTTGCCTTGAGCAGCAAAGAATCATCTACTGGATGACAATGTATTCTCACCCACTGCGGTCAGATCTGACTGTAATCTATACTTCCACAGGTGAAAGATCTTCGCCCACAAGAATAACACTGTCACCACATGATACAAAAAAACTCTTTAAAATGCACATTTCCATCTATAATATTGGGATAACTTTAAATTCTATATTACTGCATTCTCTAAAATAATGGGGCACACTTCATAAGTGATATTTTCTCCCATGAAAGATATCTTAAAAAGATGAAACGCTAGCAAGGGGCGGAGATAAATCACATCGCAATGTGTTTTTTTTTTAAAAAGTAGGAATGGAAGTCTCTTAAAGTCACAGACACAACTTTCACCAGAACCCAGTTTACAAAAACATTTTAATGATCCAACTTTTGACACAAAGAGCCACCATATAACCATGAATCAGTGAAATTCAACTTTATATTACATGGAATCTCAAGCTGTGCCTAATGCTTTGGGAATGCCATCTTATCCATTTTCAATGCACTGACCGAACAAGTCAAATCTCCTTTTTATTACACGGGATTTTCACTGGTATTCTGGGGATTCAAACAACTTTTGAAAAGTGGATCAGTGGTCATGTCCAGATTCATACACTTAACCAAGAAATCATCATAATCACTAACAGATTAGAATGTGTCTGGGAGATAAAAAAAAATCTCAAACAGTAACAGAAAATTCTGGAAATAGAGGTATTTTAATACCTGCAGTGTTTTATAACAAGTCAGTATTTTCAAGGTTCCGATAATAGAAACCTGTGTTTTCACAAATTAATCTCATACTATTTCCAAATCAAACCATCACAATCTGTCAACCTGTGTATTAATCCCAATGAGGAGCTTTAACATTATGTCTTTTGAAACGCACACAGGCAATTAAAATTGATGTTTTCTCTCCTTAAATAACCTGCATCTGTCCTGCCTTCTCACCAATGTGATTTACTCTGACTGTAACATTCAAAACAGATCTTTAGTTACAGGTCTAAGCAGAATTGGGAAATCGGTTTGAATGTCAGAATGGTAAAAGAACAACTTCACATTGCAAGAGGGTTTTTTTTTAAATTGAACATTAAAGAAAACAGGCCCTGTCCATGCTTCATCCCCGACTCTCGATTTTAGCTGCAGCCAGACTCCTGTGAGGCGTCGCCCTTACCCTCTCTAATCCAAACCCAGGCTTTGGGGTGCACATTAGGCCGTAAACTACAGCAATCTGGAAGAAGAGGTTGACAGGACTAAATTTTCACACAAATTAGCAGAATTTTAGAAGGAAAAACGCACCCATGTCAGAATAAATTAGCTGTAAACCTTAATGACTGTGAAGTTACAAAGCTTGATTTAGTTTGAAGGTTTTTAAACACTTACCTTTTGGTTCTGTTGGGCCAATATTGGCCAGGATGAAGAGGGTCACCATGGCTGATATCAAAGTCTTCCTCCCCATCCTGGAACTGGAATCCTCCTGGTGCAGTTCAAAATCAAAACCCACGTTCCCCACAAACACACAGGCCTTGGATACAATTGAATAAAAACTAAAATAAAACTCAGGGATGTAGAGCAAGCCTATTAAAAGTTGTTTTTGGGAGAGCACTTCGAACTGGCAGTTTTTAAAAAAAGTAATCTCTCAAAGAATAACAACTATTTTAGGCACCCCCCAAAATGAAATTTTCTTGAATCGTCTCTGAACAAATATTAAATAAAGTGATCTTGGCAGTTACATTGGAACAAATCCTTCATTATGTCCATGAGGGTGGGGGAATAACTGTACTTTTCAACCCCTGTGTCCACAAAGTCTTTTTTGGTGAGATTGTTGGGGAGAACAAGGTGGAAAAAAAAACTCCCCTCTCCTTTATTTTGTCTTTGGAGGATTAATTTTTCCACAGCAGAAGAAATCTTCCTCAATCTCCTTCTTCTGCAAAAAAAAAAGCTCTGGAAATCACATTGGAGTTGTAAAGCTTGTGGCTTCACTGCAAAGTCCCCAGTGCAAGAAAGCCCTCATTTCCTTCTCTTTTATATCATATTCAAACTCCTTTTATATATTTATATTTCCTTTTAACTCGATGATATCACGGGAAGATGAAACTGTCCGCTTTCTTCCCCCACATTACCAGTCCTGAGGAGAGAGAATTAAAAATAAAATCCCTTCAGGAAACAATCTGTTGAGAAAACGACAAACATAAACCAAAATATCCTCCAAGACAATTTTCCTTGAGCCGATATCAACTTGATTTTCTTTGGCTTTCTGCCTAGGCTTCCTCTTTTTTTTTCCTCTATTGCAAAGTCGCCCAAAGAAAATATCAAAGAGATCTCTAATTCACCATTGGAACAAAACAAAAAAAAATGTTTAATAAATTATCAGAACACCAGGCGCCAAACTGCATAACAAAATCCTTCAAGGTATTTTCCCCTTTTGGCTTCAACACATTCCAAAGTGATTTTCTTTTTTCCCAATTATTTTTTTCCTCTTTCTCTGTGTTTCTTCTTTGTAAAATAAATTGAAATGTAATTGTTCTTTTTTTTGAGGGAGCGGAACTGGTGGACAAGCAACAAAATAAAAATACGATTTTGAGGAGCAGAGGAGCCTTGAACCTTAAACCATGCGCAAACTTCTTCTGGCTGTGTCGAGTAAACAAGCACCGCCAGCCCAGGGAGGAGAGGGAGGGGAGAGCAAGTGAGCCTCGACAACTACAAAAATCTGAACCAGGAGTTAACAGTTTCATGGACTGGACTGTTAAAAACCGAGAGAGAAAGAGAGAGAGAGAGAAATCTAAAATCTGGACTGTGGATGCAAGAAGATAGCAAAGAAAACAGGTTTGACAAGAATACAGTGTTTCGGAGACATTGAAAATGTGAGTGGAGCCACATCACGTTGGATTGGACTGAAGGCAAAACAACAATTCAGAGATGAGATAATATTTATTCGTAAAGGATATTTTGAAATATTACATAATCAAAGCAAGATATCAATGTTTGATGAGTATGTGTACTTTTATTTAATCCTGCATTTCAACAGATGCGTTAATGTTTTTTAATTCCCTTCCAATGCTCTCCTCATCAGACCTCCAATTCCTTCATAAATCTGAGCCCACTCAAAACTTTCTGATCTGTATCCCAACTCGCACCAAGTCCTGTTTACCCATCACCCCAGTGTGTATTGACCTACATTGGCATCAACTTTGAAAATAACTTGATTTAAAATTCTCATCCTTGTTTCAAAGTCCTCTATGACCTGTACCCTCCCTTTTTGTGTCATCCATTTCTGTAATGAGGAAAGAAACTAACTTGCTGTCCTTGCTATTCTGGCCTACATGTGACTCCAGATCCATAACAATATGGTTGACTGTTTTCTGCACTCTGAAATGGCTAGCAAGCCATTCAATTTAAGGGCAACTGATCCTGCCATCAACATCCACATCCCAAGAATGGATAGTAACCCCAGCCCCATGATGATCTTTGAGATATCTGTGATCTTGGAATCCTGACCTCCTACAAAACCCCTTTTTCTGTTGCTCCACTATTAGGAGCTGTGCTCAGTTGTTCAGATACGAAGCCCTGAGATTCCTTCCTAAATCTCACCGTCCCCCTATCACTCTCTCACCCCTTCTTTTGGATGAAATTGTTTGCTCATCTCTTTCATGCAGTCTGAAGTGTTGTTTGATAACTCTCTAGTGCAGCACTTTGAGGTGTATTCCTATATCAAAGGTATCATTATTACTGAACATTGTAGACAAATTAGTGAATTTTTTATTCATTCATGGGATTCATTCAGCATTTATTGACCATTCCCTAATTGCCCAGAGGGCAAATCACCGTGGGTCTGGAGACACAAGTCAGCCAGACCAGGTAAGGTTAGTAGTTTCCTTCCCTAAGGGGCATGAATGAACCAGATGGATTTTCCCCCCTGACAATTGACAATGGTCTCACGGAGTCTTAATTCCAGATATTTATTGAATTCAAATTCCATCATCTCCCATGGCAGGACTCGAACCCGGATCCGAAGAACATTACCTGGGTTTCTGGATTTACAGTTCAGCAACAATACCACTAGGCTATCATCTCCCCTACCAATTAAAAAAGGAATTAGTTAAAAAAAACTTGAATATTTATAAGCACCTTTCATGACCTCCTTCACCCCAATACATTTTACAGCCAATTAAGTACCTTTTGGAGTGTCCTCAGTTTTGTCACTGTAGCCAATTTAAACTTGTTAATTGATCATATGCTCATATATTGTGCAATGTATTCTCAAACTGGATTTTTAAAATGTTTTGCTGTCTGTACAAATATTTATTCAATCTGCGCTAAATTTTCACTTTGAGTAACTATATATTTTTGGCATTTTGCGTATCCAGTGTCAGCATTGAGCTATCAGTCAGGAATACCATTTGTTAAATACTCCACTCCAACAAAGTGCCTATTGCCCCAGCTGAAAAGAGTTCCCCCTATTGGATCTGTGTGGTATTTTTCAGATTTTACACCAACCTAAGTGTCCTGAGGAAGGGTCACCAGACCCAAAACGTTAACTCTGGTTTCTCTTCACAGATGCTGCCAAATCTGCTGAGCTTTTCCAGCTTCTGCTTTTGTTTATGATTTACAGCATCTGCTGTTCTTTTGGTTTTTATTCAGTGTATTAAAAACTCTATTGTTTCTATGCTAATTTGCACCAAGTCCCATTCACCCAAGACCCATGTGCTCACAGAACTACATTGGCTCCCAGTCACAAAATAGCATAATTTTAGAATTCTCCTTCATGTTTTCCAATTCCTCCATGTTCTTACTCCTCCCTTTCTCTGTAATCTCCTCCAGCCCAAAGACCCACTGAGATATCTCCATATGTCCAATTTTTATCTTTCGTGGATTAACAATTTTAATCATTTCACCATGCATTCAGCTGTTTTGACCTTAAACATTGGACTAACCTGCATAACCCACCTCAGCTCCTCTATCTTTCTCTCCCCCTATCCTCCTTTAAAATAGTACTTAAAACTTACTTTTTTGACCAAGTTTTTTGTCCCCGTCCTAATATCTCTTTGTATGGCTCAGGGTCAAATTTTATTTCCTTATGCATTGGTGAAGTAGCTTGAGATTTTTTACCACATAAAGGCACAATAAAAGCAGAAGGTTTTGTTGCTAAATTCCCTCCCTTACAGCATGGTCAGGGTTTGAGCCACATGAACTGTAGCAGCTCAAGATGACAGCCCATCAATACCTACTCAAGAGCCATTGGCAGTATAATGGCTCAGCGGTTAGCACTACTGCCTCACACTGCTAGAGACCTGGGTTCAATCCCAGCCTTGGGTTATTATCTGTATGGAGTTTGCTCTAGGTTTCTTCCCACAGAATAAAGATGTGCAGTTAGGTGGATTGGCTATTGCAAAATCACCCATAGTTTTGGGATGTTTAGGTGAGATGGATTATCCATGGGGCAATGCAGGGTTACAGGGATAGGGTAGGGGGTGGGTCTGCGTGGGATGCTGCTCAGAGGGTTGTTGTTGATTGGCCTGCTTCTATGATTAAGAATAGGTAATAAACGCTGGTCTTGCCAGGGATGTCCCACATTCCATAAGCAAAATGATTCTGGGTGGAAAGGTGGCAAAAATGTTAGTGTTGTGGAAATTACAAACTAAGGCCATTGGACCTGTATGACTAGACATGGCAAGACAGACTGTTTCATTTTTACCCTCTGTGACCAAGCCACTGTGTGTTCACTGTAGCATCTTCACTACCAACCTTCCCATAAATGTTACAAGCAAGGGTCTGAATAGAAGGTACTTCTTCAGTAAGGCAGCCACAGTCAGTAAAATCCAGTCTGATGATGAGAGTCTCCGAAATCATGGTAAAATGATGTGAAAAATACAATTACAAAAAACAAATTTGCTGGAATTAGCTCATTAACATTCTGTGATTAGGTAGCACTTCTATGACAGGACATTACCGTAATATTTTGATTAATTTAAAGGCGCACATTTTTGCGGGAATTAATCTTTAATCATCTGGCAGCAAATGTTTCCAGGCTAAACATCATTTGACTCCCAATGAGGCAAATATGTGTATGCACCCTTCTTAGTGCCAAAATATTATACAAGTGTTTTACTCTGCTTGTACAGACAGTACTTAGACAGTGCTTCACCAGCACACACATGCATGCACTGCAGCATGCTTCATCTTGTTTATCCTTCAAGCTGACCCAATGAATCTATGCTTAGTGGGCTACAGAAATACAGAGAAAAAGAAGGTTGCAGGTTCTATCCAAACCTTTTCAATCTTATCCAGTGTTTGCAGCAGGAGCTTTACAATTATCTTAGCATTCCACCCCAGCTATAAAGAAGAAGGAAACGAGCAGACAATGGTCTTATTCAGATAGCTAACCAGTAATAAAAACAGGAATTGTTGGAGGCCATGGAAAAATGTTTAGACCCTGGGACAAGAGTCAGCTCATTCAGGTGATGTGGAGGAAAAGAAGTTGCACCAAAGTAATCTGGCTCCCTAACCACCATGCCTGATTCTGAATGAATCCAATTGATCATAAATGCAGTCCACATCAAGTGAATTGCTGCCGAAGTTTGGAAGAATTAGGCTCAGAGCCTGCCATTATTTATTACCATATTATCTTTTCTCTTACTTAATGAATTTCATTATCCTTACCCTGGCCTGCTTTATTTTTATGATTTGCCTCTTTGAGCATCCTCACCTTCGTATATTACCCGTTAGCTTTCTTCAAATCTGTGCCTAGTTCTAATTTTGTAACTAAACAGAAACAGAAGCAAAGACAGAAATAAAAACAAAAACAGAAATTGTTGGAATAGCTCAACATCTGTGGAGAGAAATCAGAGTTAACGTTTTGGGTCAAGTGACCCTTCCTCAGTTCCCTCACTCCACAGATGCTGCCAGACCTGCTGAGCTTTTCCAGGAATTTCTGTTTTTGTTTCTGATTTACAGCATCTGCAGTGTTCTCAGTTTTTATTTAATTTGTAACTGTCTTTTTGTGTTTTGTGAGTTCATAGTACAAACGTCAAATTAAAGCCCACCATCAATTTGTTGTGTTATACTGTATTAGCCTAATTTGAGTTTGCCAACGGACAAAGTCACACTAGAATGTTGAAAGCATAAAAGTCTAGCCTGAAATAAGAACAGTAATGATCCCTGATGTGGAGTGATCATCTTATTAGCAAAGGCTACAAGTTGGGACTCTACTCACTGGAGTTTAGAAGAATGAGAGGTGATCTCATTGAAACATACAGGATTCTTAAGAGGCTTGACAGGGTAAATGCTGAGAGAATGTCTCCCCTCAAGAGAGTCTAGGACCAGAGGGCAAAGTCACAGAATAAATGGGATGCCATCTTAAGATTGAGATGAGGACAAATTTCTTCTCTTGATGGGTCGTGAGTTTTTGGAACTATTTTCCACAGAGAACTGTGGGGCAGAGTCCTTGTGTATACTTAGGGCTGAAATAGATGTATTCTTGATCAGTAGGGAATCAAGTATTATGGAGAAAATACAGGAAAGTAGATGTGAGGAATGTCGGATCAGCCATGATCATATTCAATTATGGAGCAGGCTCAAGTGGTTGAATTGCCTACTCCTTTCCCTATTTCCTATGATCTTAACAGA